TCTGTTGCGTACTTTCAATAGTGTTTAATCTCCTGGATATCTGTTTGAATCTGTTTTATGGATTCTATTTCTTTCCTATGTTGGGTGTTTATTTTTTCCATTTCTTTCTTGTGCTGGGCCTTCATGGCTTCTATCGTGGTCCTGAGCTCATCTATTTTTTTGTCAGTTTCTGCTCTAGAGTCTCGAATCATGACTTCCATTTTGCTCACCATCTCTATGGTTATCTGGGAAATTATTTCTATTTTGAATTTTTCTAGAGCCTGATTGATCTGTTTTGTTACTTCCTGTGCTTTGAGTTCAGGGTGTCCTGGTAGTTCACTATCGGCCTTTTCATCCTCATTTGCCCTACTGTTTGCCATTGGTGAACTGGAAGTCTGTCCTTGTGTCTTGCTTAAGTGTTTTCTCATTTTTATTTTTGTTGTCGGACTGTCCTTGGTTTAATCTCTGGGTTATCACCCAAATCTTCCTGATATGGTTGTGCCCTAGCTTCTGTGTCTCTAATTACCCACAGCCATTCTCATCTTCATAACATCAGAGAAAACAGTTCATCAAATCAACTGCAATGTTTTATCCCAACTGATACAATCAGCAACACATTAAGATCAAGCACAACTTGGAAACTGACCACCTGTGGTAGTCACTAGTCTATCACCCTTAAATCATTTGAATTAAATTGAAATCAAGAAGCAGTCCAGAACATGTCTGCCGTGAACAAAATTTCAATATAGTGTATTTACCATTTAATGGCTCAGACAGAGCGAGGATGCAAGACCCCTGATCTCAGTTAGCTGATGGCTGAACCCCATGATGCTGACTGACCTCGGGCTGCAAGGCCCAGATTGAGTTCCCCATCCTTCTGAATGGTTGAACTCTGCAAGGTTCTATTACAGGTTTCCCACGCCTTTTCTTTAAAGGTGTTCAAAGTTGGGAACTCAGAAAAATACCCTTGATGACCACCTCTGTCTTTGCAGAGTGGGTCCAAAGACTGGCACAGTCAGGAGGTCTGAGAGTGCGTGGGGGGGGTATGGGGATACCTACCCGGCGTTCGAGCAATGGCGGTTGGGTCGGGAGCAGGTGTGGTTCTCCTTTCCTCGGTGGATGGGGCCCAGCCTACCTCCCGGCGCTTGAGCGATGCCGGCTGGGTCGGGAGCAGGCGTGGCTCTCCTTCCCCCATCCTGTAGGTCTTCATAAGAAGGCTCACGCCATTATACTGATTTTTGTCTTCATGAGTGGCCAGAACCACAGCAGCCTTTTCATTAATTCATTTTGAAAGTACTACGCTTTTGCTATAGGCCAGTTACTGTATTGGTTGCTGGAATCACCAAAACAAAACAGAATAAAACATTGTTCTTGCCTCCGCAATTTGTCTTATTCAAAACATTTATAAAATTATTTCACAACATGCAAATAGTACTGTAGTAATGATATGCCTAGGATGGTGTGGAAACAGATAAGAGGAAGATTAACCCCGCTTTAAGTAAAGAACAGCAAAGGAAAGAGAAACATGAACAGCTACAGGAGACACTCACTGAGGATGCATCTTAAGAGGTGAATAGAAGTTAGCACCTCACGGTAAAGACTGGCATCCTAGAGATGGAATGAGCAGAGGAGTAGGGCAGTTTGCTTGGGGAACTTCAAATCATTTGGTGTTATAGGGCATCATATGAGAGACTGAAGAAGTTACATTGTTTTACTGAAAATTCAGTTGTGTTAGTCTGGTGACTAAATGTCTTTGAAAGGTAAAACGATTTTTAAGATTAGACCCATTAAACTTATTAGCTAAAATTTTTTATCATGAAAAATCCTTAAATCAAAATGACACTTATCCAAAGACCTGTTTTTGGCAACTTCTCCCTTATCAGCCAGTGTAGATATTACAGGTTACATACATGTCTTGTAATCAGGATAAAAATCTTCCTGTTGTTTAATTTTAGTGATGAACATGACTTCAGTGGCTCAGCATCACTGTTGCATGCTGCTTTAATGCATAAGCAGCTGGCACTTGGAGTAGTAGTCCCTGCTGTGCTCTTTAAGAAGCTTCTTTTTATGCTGCCATCAGTTGTCAGCTGCTGCAGATAGCAGTGTGATTCACGCAGTAAGCACCTGCTGTTCTTTTCTGTTTGGGTGCTGTTAGAAAATTAGGGTAATTTTGTTTACTTCATCTTTTACACACTATACCATAAGCTGCAGAAGGTTGGCAGGGGCACCCTATCTACCTTAGTATCTTGCGCGATAGCACTGAGCACAGCACCCAACACAAAGCCAGATGTTCAGCAGATATCAGTGAGTGAACATAGTCTGCAGCCTAAAGAGTGGAAGCAACTGCCCTACAGGAAGAAAAGGAACAGACTTCTGGTTAATCATATGTTCAGCTCATTTTCTTTATGTTGTTACATATTAGCATATATCATATTTAATTCCCCCTTATGTTATCAAGGAAATAATTACAAACCTACGTTAGATTTATCATTGTGAATGCCACTTGTATTTTTGTAATTCCATTAAAAATTCATCAGTATAATGCTAAACACTTCATTAATTTTCAGATTCATAGTAAGATTAAGCTTCGTGTCCCATACCAAAGCATTTTCTACAACTGCTTTAGTATTCTGTTTTCCAGAATTGCTTCCAGTGATGTGAATCATAATCTCTTTTGCTATGGAACAAAAACTGGATATATAATCCTAAATACAACTAAAGTAACAAGAAACTTTGACTAGGATAGGGATTTACTAGAAATTTCACAACCTTTTTATTTGTATAAATTAGAGATGGCAAACATTTTAGAGCTTTCAACGATGAGCAACCCACTGTGTCACAAGTGCCATAGGCCTACCACCACTGGTATAAGACCTTTGTTTTTATAAGCTATGATGATTTATTGAATAGTTTAAGGTGTTTTTGAAATTTTCAGTGTTAATGTCACATTGTTTATCTAGTAAAGATTCTAGAAATAATATGCATAATTATATATATATATATATATATATATGAGAATATATCTGAATTTGTGCTTCACTTACATGTAAGTGAATATCTTCAGCAAATATCTTTAAATGTGTTAGTGTTTGGAAACTTTAAGTTAGTTTGGAAGACTTTTGTGTGTTTTTGAATATAATATTTGGGGTTTTTTTTCCCCCTTGTTAATATTTCCTAGAATTACTGTATGATCAGTTTTGGCTAAGAGGGGGATGACTTAACATCTTAAAGATTGTTGTGGAAGAAAAATATAATAGCTCACATTATTTTATAAAATGTTTTTATTTTTTGAGAAAATGCATGACTTTTTATATATTTTGTCAAATCGTTTCAATGTGCTGTGTCTTTTTAAAATTCAGGCTCTCATTAAAGATAGAACCAGGGACAAGCACACCACGGCCTGCTGCTTCCAGGGAAGATTTAGTAGGTTAGTACACAGTCTCCTTTCATTTCTAAATAACAAACCAAGTAACCAGATAGGGAAGAATATGCATCAAGATAAATACCAAATCTTATATATCAAAAGTGTGTTTTGGTATTAAATTGTATCAGTTCCTACTATTACTGGATAAGAAGAAGAGCATAAGGGGTAGGGAATGAAACAGAAGGATAACGGGTGTTGGACATAATCAGATTATTTTGTAAAATAAAATCCATCAATCCTTTTGCGTTTGTGTTTGTTTTTGTTTTTGCCTTTCTGTGGTTGAACCTAGGGCATCACACATGCTAGGAAAGTGCTCTACCACTGAGCTACATCACTAACCTTGAGTTTGTTTTTTTTGTTTTTTTTAATTAAAAAGTTGCTTGTAATTTTTGTCAATAATATGCAAATGCTTGTTACCTAATCAAGGAAAACAGGTTCAACAGAAAATAATAGATGAGAAATTATTAATATTCTATTGATTTTTAAGATTAAGAATGAAGTCTCTAGGCAGTAAGGGTGGTTTATACTGGAAATTTCTGTAGTCTGAATTCTACTAATTTGAATATTTATTCAAGTCAGTTTTAGTGATTTAATTAATGCTTAAATACTGAGCCAAGAACTAAAGATATAAAAAACACTTCCTGATTTATTTGTTGCATTATAATGGGATATTATATTTATGTCACAAATAATCAGTGATATATACAGTTGAAGAAATTACTCATTTAAGAAATAACTGATTATTACCAATGTAGAATTTAACGCTAAACCTTATGTTGTATATTCTCACAATATTTGAAGGCTTCTAATATGATATGAAGCGAGGGAACAAGCCATGACATTATCTAGAGGAAGGGCATTCCAAGTAGGGAAATATTTTAGTCTAAATCTCTTAAATTTGTTTTTAATTCTTAAAGCAATATTTTACAGAACTGTATGTTGTATATGTACATATGACTGCCAACCTTGCGCCTTCTGTTAAAGGAAGCAGAAACCGTGAATAAAAATAAAAGCACTGAACCTAAAACTCAGAAGACCTCGGTATTTAGATTAGATTTTGTTTTGTTGTTGTTTTTTGTTCGGGGAGATTTTTTTTTTGAGACAGTAGTTTAGGCTGGTCTTGAACTCACTATGTAGCCCAGGCTGGCTTCCTCCTGCCTCAGCCTCCCAGGTGCTGGGATTATAGGCCTGCACCACCATGCCCAGTGTAGACCAGGGGTGAGATTTTGACCCAGTTTCTTCTAATTCTGCTTCTTCTATGTACATGGAGAATGTATTTACACTGCTTCCAATTAGTGCAAGTAAAAGAGTTAGAAATTAAAGGTAGAGATTAATTATTAAAGATAGAAATTGATTTTTTTATATGGTTCAGAATTCTGTGCTCTAGGACTTGGAAAATAAGTATTACTTGTCTTCAAGTCAGTTAAAGTTTAAATCACATTTTATATTTTATATCAAGGGGTTAAAAATAAAATAATGCTGGGCCGGGGATGTAGCTCAGTGGTGCTGCCGCCTGCCTCACAAGCACAAAATCCCCATTTCAGTCCCTGGTACCAAAAAAAAAAGCAAACAAACAAAAAATAAAATAATGCTTTGAAATCATTTGAAAATTTTCTTCTCTCTGTTTTAATTGAACCCTTAGGTCCTGAAGTAGGAGCATCACCACAGAGTGGAAGAAAAAGTATAGCAGCTGAAGGAGCCTTGCTGCCTCAGACGCCTCCGTCCCCTCGGAACCTGATTCCACATGGACACAGGAAGTGCCACAGCTTGGGCTATAAGTCAGCATTTTTTATTTTACCTCCCAATTTTTAGGTTGTTTATAGTTGCATTTATTTTCTATTTACTTTATTAAACAGATAATGGTATCCTTGCATAATATTTTTAACAATAATCTTTCTGATTTGCTAAAACATCTTACTTGCTTAAAAGAATCTACTTTTCCTTGACCAGAATTTGCATGTCAGCTGTTTCCAACCATTGCCTTTCCATGTGAGGAAGATAAATGACAGGGCCACTATAAATAGAATTGGAATAGCGATACACTATTTAAATCATAACCTTTATATCAGGGCAGGCTTTTAACATAAGTAATAAGTAAGGAAAGTGCTGTTTTGTTTTAACTTCATAATTATTTCCTAAAAGGGAATTTGAAAACAATTTTTTAATTACCTGAGGCTGGAGATGAAATTAAAGTACATTCTCATTATACAAGTAAATATGGCCAAGTTTCCTTAAATATTTTCCCTAAAGTATTAGTTTAAGGCTTTCCTGTTAAAATCCATGTCCGTTACTATGAAAGTTGAGAAGTGAGTTCAGGATAGCAAATCTTTTTATATCCTGAATCTTAAGAGTATTTTGTATATCCTGAATTAGTAACATAGTAAAAGTTGTGAAAAATGTTTCTCTTTGTTTCCAGTTTCATTCATAAAATGAACACAGCAGAGTTTAAGAGTGCAACGTTCCCAAATGCAGGACCAAGACATCTGTTAGATGATAGCGTCATGGAGCCTCACGCACCATCTCGAGGTCAAGCTGAAAGTTCCACTCTTTCTAGTGGAATATCAATAGGTAACAAACAGTTCTCTGAGAAGGTTCCAACTTCTGTATAATAAGAATTTAAAACTAAGCTGGAGCCAGGTGTCATGGCAAATGCCTGTAATCCCAGCACTTGGGAGGCTGAAGCAGGAGGATTGCTTCGAGTTTAAGGTCAGCCAGCACTACAAAGCAAGGCCCTAGCTCAAAAAACAAACAAAAACCAAGCTTAAAAATATTACATTTCTCCTACCACAAATAATAAAAATTTCATTTTAAAAAATCAAAGCAACAATTTGAATAGAGAATGAAAGTAATAATTGATGACAGTTTTTAAAGTGCTCCAGAAGAAGAGGCATTTGAATACTGGTAGGAAAATACAGACTAATGAATTGGTTACCTGCATGCAGTGGTTGTAGAAATGAAGAAAAGGGTGAAGTCAAATATGGTTCTAACTTATGTGGATTAAGGAGCTATAATGAGATGGTGATGCTCTGGCCTGGGTAGAGAGGACTGGAAGAGCAGTCATCTGTGAGCAGTGAGCTGTTTGAAGGGTAGCTCAGTTTGAGGGATTAAGAATTCTGTTTTCAGGGCTGAGGATTTAGTGGTGCTGCTGCCTGCCTCACATGTGCAAGGTCTCACGTTCGATTCCCAGTACCAAAAAGAAGCTGTTCTCAACATGTTTAATGCCTATAGAGATGTCAGATTGTTGAGTGTGTGAACCCAGAGCTCAGGTGCGGCTGGCAGGTTGTGGTAGTGTCAGGTCTAAGATACAAACCTGAGACCTAGCATATTTATAACATTGCAGGCCAGGAGACTGAACCACCTAGGGAGAGAGCATCAACAAATGAGAGAAGAACACTCCCACATTTAAGAGAATGTGTTTTTTGATTTTTTTGAGATGGGGTTTCATTATATAATCCACGCTGGCCTTGAACTCACTACGTATCCCAGGATAGCCTCATATTTGAGATCCTCATACCTCAGCATCATGAGGGCTGGGATTAGATGTGTGCCACTATCCCCAACTGTTTTTTAGAAGAAAGGTGGACTAGGCTAAGTATGTAGCTTAGTGGTACAGCATTTGCCTAATATGCACAATGCCCTGAAAAACTATCAAAGGAAACCATGAAAAGGGATATAAAATAGTGTGTGCTATCATAAAACTTAGTATCTTGGGCCAGGGATTTAGCTCAGTGGTTCTGCCACCTGCCTCACAAGCACAAGGTCCCGAATTTGATCCCTGGTACAAAAAAATAAGCTTAGTATCTCAAAGATGAAGAACATCGTAAATGTATCATTATCAAATACAAAAAAGACAGCTAAGATATGTTAGCTTTCTAGCTCCATAACAAACACTTGAGATAAATCAACTTAGAAAAAGTTTTTAGCTTAGTTTTAGTCTTTGAGTAGTTGGCCTGTGGCAGGGCAGCACATCAGGACAGGACATGGCAAAGCAGAACCCTTCACCTCATGACCAGAAAGGGAAGGAAACAAAGAGGAAGAACTGGGGTCACATGGTCATCCCTGCCTGGGGTGGCACCCTCACCTGTACTCCTTGACCAGTAGATCCAACGTCACAGGTTCCATTGCCTCCCTGTAATGCCTTAATTGTGGGCCAAGTCTAACACACAGACCTTTGAGGGACATTCCAGGCCCAAACTATCACTGATGAAAATGGTGACTTGTCCAGGAAATTCGGCAAGATAAAGACAAGAACTGGTTTATAGGATGACAGAGGCAGCGCCCTGATCAAGAGTGGATTTGAGTATGAGAGGTAAAGAAACTACTATGAAGGCAACCAGAAAATTGGGACCATATTGGAAAGGAACATGAAATTAACAGAGGGGTTTATTTTTACATTCTAAGCTTTTTTCCATTTTCTGAATCATCTAGATAAGTATTATTACCCACCCATCACACACACCCCGGTGCTGGATATTAAACTCAGGCCCTTGTACTTGTGAGGCAAACAGTGCACTGAGCTAAATTCCCAGCCCAAGCATTATTTCTTTTTATAATTAGATAATATATCATCTATACTGTGTTGTTTTTATTTTTTAAATAAGAAAATGTCCTCATCTGTAAATATCGGGTTGTTCAAGAGCTAATTCTATTTCAGTATTGATGAAAAGCCAATAGAAAGAGCTATTAAATGAGGTTCAGTTTCCTGTACATACTGATTTCCCTAACGCTTGAGAGCTCCAAACCCTAAAACGAAATTGCTTCAGAACTCTCTAGCACCATTCAGCAGTTTATTCCAATGTTCCCCCCTTTTTTTAATGCCACTAAATAAGTACTTAAATTTGAAATAGATCTGTTTGTCAACTAAAATACCTCTTTATTAATGTTCTAAGTTGCCTGTATATAAATATCAACCTCAGTCTAAATTTGTGGAATAATTTTACAAGAAAGAAAATAACTTTTTCTACTTAAAAACTTGTTACTTAGGCAATCTGTCATGCCAGTTTAAAACAAAAAATAATTTTTAAAGTTACAGCTCCCAGGTACATAATATTTAACTTTTTCCTTATCATAAGTTTTATGGTAATAATTTATTCTCCAGATTATTTGTAGCTTTTGCTTTACATAGATTTTTTTTTTTACTGCAAGAAAATTATACTGAGAGCCTCGGTTTAGAGGTGGTATTTTTGAGCAGACTTTTGGCTTTGTGTGTGTTTTTTTAAATTATTTTGAGGCTGTTAAGTAGATGAATAATAAAAGATTTCTGCATCTTTGTACATTGAAGATGTTGTACATAGGCATCTTCCCTCCAGTTTTGGTTTTGGTTTTGGTTTAAACATCATGAAGAGGAAGTAATACCATGTGATGATAGCTCCTAATACACACAAAAAAATGATTCTTTTTCCTTAGCCATAACCTTTACATGAAATACTGATCTGTACTGTAAGGGCTTTGAGGAAGTACTGTATAAAAATTCACCAGTGCCAGGGGCCTCAAATATTTTCTAATGTGGGATATGTGTCTCAGACAAACTACTCTCGCCTTACTGAGAAACTGACTCAGCTGAGACTGATGCCTGTGGAAAAGCTTATATTTCCTACAGATAAATTATACTGATTATGCTTAAATTTTCAGTCTTTACCACATAATGCTTCAAATCAGAAGATAATCTATAAATGCCCACATGGTAGCACATGTCTGTAATTCCTGTTACTTGAGCAGAGACAGGAAGATTCCAAGTTCAAGGCCAACCTGGGTGATTTAGCAAGGCCCTGTCACAACATTTTTTGGAGAAATGTCTGGGGATATAGGTCAGAGTCCCCTGGGTTTAATTCTCAGTATCACTAACGGTCATCATCAATCATCATCATCTGTAAGACCCTAGCACCACTGGGTTACCTCTGGTTCCTCACTTGAACCATGAAATACAGATTTTTTTTTTTTTTTTTTTTTTTTTTTTTTTTTCTCGAAGGTAGGCCACAGAACCACTGAGCCAAACCCCCAGCCCTACAGAAATTTTTTTAATGACCGTTACCTCTATTCATCCAGAGGTATACATAGCTAGTGCCATGCGAAATTGATCTCTTACCATGTTAAAGTTTGATTCTCTCTTGGGATCTTTGAGTTTCTCAGTGATACAAGTCTGATGAGTTGTTCAACATGACATATTCATCATCTCAGTTTTGAGAGCCAAAATTATCTTTAAAATAACTTTGAAATCTAAGTTATTGTTGACTTTTCAAATTTATTCCTCTCAGATTTTTTCCCTTCATTAATTTTAAAGTTTCTATTTGAAGACAGTTTAAACTAATACACTGGCTAAAGAGGAAGTGGTAACATTGTTATAGCATCAGTATGTACTTTTTAAATTTAAAGCTTTTTTCCTTCAATCCTATTTCTAAAGGCAAAAAAATTAATTTCATTAATTCATAATTTCATTCTCAGGATGGTATGGGTTTTGGTACAAAAGAGAATACATATGCCATAATGTCATATGATTTCATAATTACATTGATAATAAATTATGAGAAAAAAGTCTGTGCTCTGTACATTCTCTGATTGTAAAAACATTGTTTAGCAGTGAATTTTAGCTATAAGTAGTCATGCAGAAATGTCTTACTTTGCTTTGTTGTTTTAAGTAGTCTTATTAACTGAATTCCAGTATATTGCAAAATACTTGTGAACACAGCTGCAGTGATATTAGAATAAAGAATATATGGATGTTTGCCCACAATGTAATTGTCATTTTATGAGCACAATTAAAGAAATATTTTCATCTTTAAATTTAAAATTTATATTAGTGCCTGTGTGCAGTACATAAGGACAGCATTCATCCATGTACATGACCCGTCTTAGTTCTTTTTTAAAACTTCCCCACTTCTCTCCCATCTCCCTCCTTTTCCATAGCCCCTTCCCATTTGCAAAAGATCTATGTCCACGTTTCCTATTTTGCTACCTTTTATTTTACTCTAAATTATCTATACTTTATTTTTTGTTTTGGTTTTTTTTTGGTACCAGAGATCGAACTCGGGTCCTTGCACTTGCGAGGCAGACCACCGAACTGCTGAGCTAAATCCCCGGCTTTATACTATAGATTTTTAAAAATATCCAAACTGGAAAAATAATTCTGGTGTTTAAATAGAGTAACTTTTGATTTTAGGTAGCAGTGATGGTTCTGAACTAAGTGAGGAGACCTCGTGGCCTGCTTTTGAAAGGTATGAGAAATTTACCATTTGAGTAGCTTTGAATGTATTTTGTCTGTCTAAAAGGATATAATCATATGAATTTGAAGAGGTATTTTTTCCCTATCTCTAAGAGACTTTGTAAGTTTTCTTCTTGTTGAAAAATTAAGTTGCTCATATTTCAGTTTGGAATTGTAAGTAATACAAATGATAACCTGTTGGTAGTCTTATAGATATCTTTGGTATCTTTACACATGTATTTGAATTTCAAGTACATTTAACATTGCAACTTAAATTTTTTTAATAATTTTAATAGTAATACATTTTAATAAAATTTTGTTGCAAGCAAATAATGTTATATTGATATTCAATACAAGGTCTGAGAATGTGGCCCAGCACCTCAGATAGTTTTCATTAAATGTTCATTAAGATTCTCCCCGCTTCTTTTTTTTTAAGTGTGTGTTTATAGTACGGAGTTGTGCTTTTTGTGTTGGGAAATTGGTATAGGCATATAACATTTTGATTATTTCTCATCTCTCTATTTGGTCCCCTTCTCCCTTTCATCTTCCCGCACTTTCCCAGTCCCCTTCCCCATCCCCGAGTCTACCTATTGTCTCTCCTTTATTCGTGTATTTATTTATATTTCAGGTTTCTCATATAAGAGGAAACATGTAATATTTAACTTTATGAGTCTGGCTTATTTCACTTAGCATGATGGTCTCAAGTTCCATCTATTTCCCTAAAATTATGTGATTTTACTTCTTTTTGGCTTGAATGGTACCAATTGTGTATCAATGTTGCTTTTTTGTTTTGTTTTATCATTTTATTTTTGAACCACTTAACAGTTTATCCCAACTATTGCTCAGGCAGGTGTCATTTCAGCCAGTTGATTCTTGTGTTGAATAAATATGATAAAATTGTCATTTTTATATTTCCTGTTATCATAAAAATTTGGTCATCCAGTATTTAAATAATTGGACTGGAAAGTGGTTAATCCATTCATCTGTTGACAGGCATCTACTCTGTTTCTAGAGCTTAGCTATTGGGAATTGTGCCACTATAAACATGGATGTGCATGTATCACTATAATATGCCTTTAATTCTTTTGGAGAGATATACCTGGGTCAAGTGATATTCCTACTTTTAATTTTTTGAAGAATTTCCATACCTATCTCCAAAAAAGTTCTTTCTATCTTTTTATAATCCTAAATTATACTTCTACAAACAGTGTAGGACAGTTCACTTTTCTTCCACATCCTCACCAACATTTGTTGCTTTTTATGTCATTCTACTGTGGTAAGATATTGATGTTTAGATTTGCATTTCCCTAAAGGCTGAAAATGTTACACGTGTTTTCATATACTCATGGTCATTTATACTTCTTTTGAGAAGTGTTTCTTCAGTTTGCCCATTTTTTTTATTGGGTCATTTCTTTTCAGCAAGGTTAATTTTTTTAGTTCTTTATATGGTCTAGATATTAATTCTTTATTAGAGTAGCTAGCAAAAATTTTCTAACATTGGGCTGGGATTTAACTCAGTGGTTTTGCAGCCTGCCTCGCAAGCACAAGGACCCGAGTTCCATCCCCAGTACCAAAAAAAATAATAATTCTCATATTCTGTAGGTTGTATCTTTTCTGTTGAACTGTACAGAGCTTTTTAATTTGCTGTATACATCTGTTGATTTTTGGTATTATTTTGGTGATACTGGAGTTCTATTCAAGAAGTCTTGGGCTGGGGATTTAACCCAGTGGTGCCACTGTCTGCCTCACAAGCGCAAGGTCCCAAGTTCAATCCCCAGTATCAAAAAAAAGTCTTTGTTAGTGCCTATGGCTTCCGATATTTCCTCTATGTTATCTTCTAACAGTTTCAAAGGTTGTTTTTTACATCTAGACCTTTGTTCTATTTTTATTTAAGTATGGCATGAGAGGTAGTAGTTTCTGCGAGAGGATATGTAATTTCCCAGCACCTTTTATTAAAAGAGGATGTCTTTTCTCCATTATATGTTTTTGGCTCCTTTATAAAAAATCATATAGCTATAGATGATTGGGGTTGCTTCTCTGTCTTCTGCTTATTCCATTGGTCTACATGTCTGTTTTTGTGGCAGTACCATGTTGGTTTTGTTACCGTAATGTTGTTGTATAACTTGAAATCCAATATTGTTTTTGTTTTTGTTTTGTTCTTGGTACCGGGGATCAAATTCAGGTTCTTGCACTTGCCGGGCAGGTGGCAGAACCACTGAGCTAAATCCCCAGCTGAAATCCAATATTGTGAGGCTTCTAACTTTGCTCTTTTTGCTTAGGATTGTATTGGCTCTTCTGAGTCTTTTGGTTCTACATGAACTTTAGGATTGTTTTTTCTGGTTCTGGGAAAAATGTTGTTATTACCATAGAAATTATGTTAAACTTATAGATTACCTTTGGTAATATTGTTCTTCCAACAGGAGAACAAGGAATGCCTTTCCATTTTCTAATGTCGTCTTCAGTGTTTTTCTTCAGAGTTTCATAATTTTCATTATAGAGGTTTTTCACTTCCTTGGTCAGATTGTTTCCTAGGTTTGTTTGGTTGTTTTGTTTCAGCTATTGTGAATGTAATTGTTTTCCTGATTTCTCTCTCAGTGGATTCATTGTTGGTGTACAAGAACACTATTGTGTGTTGATTTTGTAACCTGTCCATTAGGATTCTCGTGCTACCTCTGATCACTTCATTACCACTATTCTTAGACTCAAGACATTTGCTTCTTGACCAAAGTAATTGTTCCATTTTGTACATAAACTAAAACTAAGTTTTCAAGCAGTAACAATATTGTTTAGATTAAATGTTAATGCCAGATGATATTTGGAGTTGAATATATTTAGCCTTTTTCCTTTCTTTCTTTCCTTCCCCTGTACTGAGGCTTGGAAGCCAGCAAGGCGGGCACTCTGCAGTATCTCATATGTTGCCCAGGTTAGCCTCAAATTTTTGATCTTCCTGCTTCTGCCTCCCGAGTTGTTAGAATTACAGTTGTGCCACCACTCCCAGCCGTTTTCAATTTTCAGTATAAAACCATTTATAATTGCATTATATTTCAATTAATTTTAAGCTGCTTTATTGGAAAATTGTTTGTTTTTGGTACCGGAGATCAAACTCAGGACCTTGCATTTGCACAGCACCACTGAGCTAAATCCCTGGCCCATAAGCCCTATATTTTAAAATATAATACTTTGTGGTTCTTTCTACACTGTTAATGTTCTCAAGCTTTGTTCTCTTCATTTGTAGGATTCTTTAACATTTATTTGTACATATTGCTTTTCCTCTAATCTTTATTTTCATTCTTTTAACTTCAGTTTGCCTGAAATGGAGAAAAAGTTGGCTTTTGCATGCTCTCTGAATTTGTGCAAATTACTTTTCTATCTAGAAAGAGCATACGTACTACCATTAGCTATTGATTATAAAGTATATTATAATTTTTGGATAAAAAGTACTGATTAGCAAAATTGTTTATTTCATTGCTTAGGTTGTAAATGAGTAACCCAGAGTGGTATTGTGTTCATCTGTTGTTGTCCCAGCAGGTTTCCTATCAAGATAATATTTATTGGTATTACTACCATATCTCAAAACAGTATTTTTTCTTTTATGATAAATATTTTGCTTTACAGACATTTGCCACTAAGAGGAAAAAGTCTACTTGTGCCAAGTTTAAATCAGTAGCTCTTTTTTGTTTTTAAAGATGGTGTCTTCCTACATAGTTCAGACTGGGCTTGAACTTACTCTGTAGCCCAGGCTAGCCCCAAATTTACATTGAGCCTCCTGCCTCAGCCTCCTGAGTGCTAGGGTTACAGGAGTGTGCCACCACGCCTGATGAATCAGTGGTTCTTAGAACATTTGAGAACAGTTAAATGAGTGCTGTCCAGCAAGATTCAGACATGAAATAATAAAAAGTTAATGTAGAATAGGATTTAAAATACTCTACTCTCTGAATCATAAACTTGAAGATAGTACTCTGAATTTCAATACACCGTTTCCTCTTACTTCCGAGAAAGACATAGAGACATAAAATATATTGTTGCTTAAATTGCTATAGTAATGATTTTTGTTTGAAGTATCATTTATCAACATTGCTACTTTTGCTTTTCTCTGGCTGTGAAGTATCACTCACTGTTTCTCTGTGTTTATTTCCTTTAACTATGATATGCCATTTTGTGTAAATGTCACCTCATACCATGTTTATCATTTATTGACTTCATCAGTTGATGTAGAAATAAAATAGTGCCCATATTTATTATGCAGTTTATCTCCTTTATTTTCTTTGATTTACTATAAAGAGGTTTTCCTTGTTTTAAATTTACAAGCCACATTGCTTTTAGGTGTCTTCATAGGGACATATAATAAAGATGACTTATTTGTATAAATCCAGGCATCAAATTTAAACTCATATGCAAATAAGAATCTCTGAAGCATTTTTCAGGTTTTTATATTATTTAGCTACAAAATACCTCTAGTTCTTGTGGATGGATGAAAATAAATGTATATATAAGGTGTAATATGCATTAAACACCTATAAATATTTTTGAAAATATACTGTGTGCTTTAAAAAGCAACAATCACATACTGTCCTGTGAGATTTAGAAAGCAGTATTACACAAAGATTCTTCTAACGGTGTTGTAGGTATTGGTGATAATTGTGTGAATAAAAGTGTATGTAATATATACGATTTATAATGGAATTCAACAGGAACAGATTATACCATTCTCTCGGCCCGGTGACAAGAGTGGCACGAAATGGCTGTCGAAGCCACATGAAGGCCAGCAGGTACAATTCCCCTGTATCCAGGGGTCATAAAACTTCCCTCTGGTGTTGGTGATTGGCTTATGTGGGTGTGGTCTGACATTATTTCTCTTCTTTCTCAGCTAATTGGCTTTAAAACTAAATGAATTACCCATGAAAAAATCCCTTCCAAGATGTAATCTAGAGATAAATTGAAACTGTTCTTCCTGATTGAAGCACCAATTGCTAAAACCTTTTATCTTTATGTCATATTTTTAAATGCTTCCAAGTTGGTAGCCTTTTAACTGCACACAAGTCTTTCTAACACTGCGGATTATTGTATGAGCAATATAAGTTCCTGCTTCTTACTCTTAAACTACAATCAGAGCATTTTGCTAATAAGTTTATATTTGTCCTTTTTAAGAATTTTTTTTTCTGATAAGCCACAGATCTTGAATCTAGACAAGTCTATTTGATTAAATGATACTTGTATATTTCAACACATAACTTAGTCCTTTATCCAATTAAACTGGATCCTTTTCTGAAGTATATTAACTGTGGAAACAACTAAGGATAGTACATTGATTGAAAATAGGAGGTTTAGTGATAATGGGTAATGAGCCAGTTCAAATACAACAAAATAGCCAACTTTATGTCTATTTGATGGTGTCTAAGCTCCTTATGTTTACCTCCCTAAGTATAAATAGCTCTACCATGAAATTTCTACTGGTTTCTAGATTAAGTCACTTTGAAGACACCTAAATAACCAAAAAGGAATAAACTGGAAAACTTTTCTTTGCTGTTGTAGGAATGCTACATCTCATATGACATCACCAGAGAATGCCATTTTTATTAATGCGTAGGTTTTAATTGGTCCATATAGAACTCATTCTTGTTTTGAAATAATCAGGTATAGGTTATCAAATCAACTGGAGAAAGAGATTAAAATGTTCAGTTATTTTGTGATGGTTTTTAAAGATATATACAGTGAAAAGAAAATCTTAAGTATCAGAGTTTTTCCTTTTTTGGAGAGCTATTAGGCCATAATCAAACACTGAAGTCATGACTGCATTTGAAAGTCATTAAAATTTACTGCAGAAAGCCAGGTTTTAGAAATATGTTGTTGCATTATTTTTCACTTATTTTAGAATTAAGTTAAGCATGCGTTTTCTCATTTTGCTTCTGTGAGCTGCTATTTTCATTTTCAGTTTTATATACTTAAAAAAAAACACTTTTAATAAATAGAATCCTCATCTCTCCTACCAGGACTTAAAAGTGTCTAGTGGGGAAAATAAAGTTACAGTGGTGGTGCAGCATGACATGTTCAGAAGAAGGAAAAAAATGTTAATCTTATTTTGTGAATTCCTGCATTCTTTCTAAATTGTACTCATCTGCTGACTTTAATAACTTCCTAATTAACTTTTGTGACAGCTTATAAATTTTAGGTCAATAAACCTGTAAAAAGTCTTCTTGGCTGTGAATAAAATAGCAAAGTTTTTAAATTAAGAATAATTACATTTTATTTAAGTACCTATTTAATCATTACAGTAGACAAAAGCTCTTACTTGTCCTTTTCTTCATTCCATTGTTGTAGTTCTGCAGAGTCAGAAGATTTGGCAGTACATTTATATCCAGGAGCAGTTACTATTCAAGGTGTTCTCAGGAGGAAGACTTTGTTAAAAGAAGGCAAAAAGCCAACAGTAAGATTTCGTTATTTCTAAACACACTTCTAAAAAATATGCACATGTGTAAGACCCTATACATCTCTTTATCCTCTATAATAATTCTCATACAAAATTGTTTCTTTTGTAAAGTAAATGGCTATTATAGTAATATCTTTAGGAAGAACAAAGAGCAACAACCTAAAAACTGGAATTCAACGAAATTTGTTTCCAGTTTATTTAAATTTCTATAATGTTTTCCTGTTTTGTTTTTTTTAAAAAAAAAAAAGAACCTAGTATTAAATGTTCTCCAAACAACAGCACTGTAGCAGGGGCCAGAGGGTAGTGGAGCAGAAAAATATAAAACTTTTGATGTATAACTGCAGTTAAAGCTTTGAAAATATGAGGTCTTCTTAAAATAGAAAGATGGTTTTCATCTAAGTAATCTTATGCTGTTTACAATAAACCAAAGGCTTATACAATCACGAAGCCACACTGGGCCATCCCGTGAACTCAGAGTACTCTGTCTGTGGCATTACTATACCTCTTGTGTGGCTGGTGGTAAAAGTAGAGTAATGAATAAGACAAGACTAAATGCCCGCCTCATGCAGATTACTTTCCAGTGAAGAAAAATACAGAGTAAGCCCTTCTAATGGGTCATAGGATACAGAATGGTGGTGTGGCAGCAAGACATTTGATCTGAGACCTGTGAAGAAAGTGAGTGAGCCTTAGGAAGATCTAGAGTACAAGAGAAAAGAGGACTTGTATGGTTGAAGCATTGAAAGTAGAGGAGGAAGTCAAAGGGTGTAGTCCTGATGATATATATTGGAAATGAAGATAACTTCTGCATTTGGGGACTGAGCTAGGTGGTTGTTGGTAATATCTTTTGAAATGGGTAGAGCGGTAAGTTTGGCTGAATTCAGTTTGACACGCTCATTTAACATTGGAGTGGAACTGTTGGTTTGGCTCTTGAAACAGTATAGTTCCTGAGTTCAGTAAACAGGTATGGTCAGAGGTAGTGATTTGAGCATCATTAGCATACGAAGAGTGAAGTATGGAACTCAATGTGACAGATTATCTATAAAGATATCACTGGGGAAGGAAAAAGAGCTGGAGATAGACCTCTGTAGCATCAAAAGTCTGCTATAAGAAGAGTATAAAGGAAAACCAAATAACATCCTAGAAGCCTAGCAGTTAAAGTACTTAGGACGCTGTTTTCATCTGTGTCATACAAAAGTTTGATTGTGACAAGGACTGATGCTCTGGAAAGGTGTCAGTGGTCAGTGACCCAGATATCAGCTGTTTCAGCCTGAAAGTCAGATTACTAAGTTTAGTAGAAAATGGAAAAAATAAATGTAGAGGCAGAAATTGGAGACAAACTTGGAAGAAGTTGTGTTATGAAGAGCAGAAAAGTAGGATTTGGGGGCGTTGGGAGTGTTCACACAAGGGAGGAATATTAAAGATGGTAGTATTACTAAGGCTCATTTGTGTAATGATGATAGAGGAAAAGAAATTGAGATGCACTGGAGAGGAGTTTCTAACAAAAGCAAATTAAGAAAATGTAAGAGGGGAATCTATAGATAGAATCAAGATTTGACTGGTCTACTAGGGAGAAGAAAGGCATGTATATCTGCCAACAGGCAGTTAGTTGGAATTGATGCAAGGAAAATGAGGTTGTTCTCACCACAATTCATCTTTCTCCAGAAGATATGATATGCTATAGAAAGTGCGTCAATTTGAGATTGGTGATTGTAATTTTATCAGTAGGAATAATTGTGTGATTTTTCCAGGAAGTCAGCTACTATAATACGGAACCAAGTAATGAGTTAGATTTGACTAAGGGTTGGAATTTTATCAGGAAAGAGGGGCCTTGGGATTAACGTATTTGGAAGGGAACGAATACAGTGCTAGACAAGTGCCAGATCTGAGGGAAAGGAAGGGGCAGAGGAGGCGATGGCAATGCTAGAGAATATTAAAGGTGATAACTTCTTGATAAGGTTAAAAAGCACCTTAATGAGAGTAGTAGAGTGTATTAGTTGGAAGTGATAGATAGAGATAATTGAGGTAGATTTCAGAAGTGCTACAGCGTGACTCTGAGAGTAAGACTTTGATGACTGAAGAGTGACACTAAGAAGGCAAAGTAAGAAACCAGTGACATTTTAATGGTATATTTACATTTATGCTTTCTAGGTGGCATCTTGGACAAAATATTGGGCAGCCTTGTGTGGAACACAACTTTTTTACTATGCTGCCAAATCTCTGAAGGCTACAGAACGCAAACATGTAAGTATTTGTCCTCCTAATTCTTAGCATTGTTTCACAGCCTCTTTATGGTTATAAAGAAAATAGTCCTAATATAATTTTTGGATCCTGGTCTAAATACTGTAATGGAATTATTTTTATTTAGTAAGACTATTCCAAAGAAGATCTTGGAATAACATCTATATTCTGAGTTTCTTTTTTTCTTTTTGGCACTGGGGATCGAACTTAGGACCTCATGCTTACAAAGCAGGAAGGCAGAACCACTGAGCTAAATCCCCTACCCTTGAATACCATTTTTCCATCGCAGATTTCAAAACTGCTTATTACAAATACCTGCCTTGACATCAAAGTTTCCTCAGTCCTGAGTTTCAGGTTCAAAACTTTATAGTCTTGGTTCTTAATATATAAAATGTGGAAAGCATCTAAAATTATTTTTATCTCAATCTCTGATGTGGTAACCTTCTCAGTAGTGATGGAAAATCGGTGATTACATACTACTTCGAAAGAAGCCTCTTGATAACTTCCTATAAATCTCTTTTGCATGTTATTTTGTTTTGTCTTTCTATGCTGGTGATAAAGTCTTTAAAAGGAAGAACAGTTTCCCATGTTGCATTAATAAAATCCATTTTAGAAGAATTTTATGTCTAAGTCATATACTGGGTAGAAGGAAAATTAAATGGTTTACCCTACTGAAGACAAGATAAATCACCGAAGAAAATTTCAGTTCCTTTTTTCTACTTACAGAGTTCTCAGATGACACTACCACAAGTCAGAAAAGCTGTACTTTATTCTCACAGTAGCTCTTTAATCAAACCAAGATGTAGAAGAGGGCATTTTTTTGTTTAAATGAAAGTAGGAAATGCCATACTATCACGTTGCTTTATCAACTACTACAGCTTCTCTTCACTTTCCTAAATTTCATGTTAATCATTGCCTTCCTTTTCATTAAAATGTTTCCTTAATTTTAATACATGTGGGTGTTTGTTTTGGGTTCTTTTGGTGCTTGGAATCAAACCCAGGACCTTGGGCGTGTAATACTCCATGCTGTACCACTGAGCTTATTTATTCCCCAAGCCCCTGGTGTGTCATATTCTTAATAGTGACTTTCTTGCTCATTTCTATAATCATCTAGCTCCTTGCTCTGATGTAAAGGACTGAAGATCATTCTGTCTGTGAATGTTTTTGTATCGTCTAGTTTGTATAGTCAGGTATGGTTTAAAAGTGAAAGCGTATTCATTATAAAAAAAAATAATAATGCCCACATACCCAAGAAGATCATACTGATTGGTATTACTAGAACATTTTACAGAGTAGTTGCCTCTACTGCTGTAATCACAAGGGATGGCCTAATATAGTTAAATATAACAAGTAATTCTTCACATAGCCACCTTGAGAAACTTGTTGGGAAAATTTCACTTAATTTACTATTAGAAGAAGTAATTTTTCAAAATAAAGTATTTGGGTTTTTCTTAGTTTTAATTGGAGGCCAAATTAACAATATAACTGAATTTGTCATGTAATGCATATGTTAATCAGCATTATTTTGAATTTGGCATTGCTACTTATACATACTAATGTATACTAATATATTACTGTAGTTTGCAGTTAGTCATATGAGGTTTCTGATAAATATGCATATGAAATAATTTAGAAATTACTGTAGGTTATGAGAAAATAAAATTGATTTTCCATATAGCTATATTGCATGTAGCTGTTCCTTTTGGTAACTGAATAGTCTTCCATTTTTATTCAGTCTACTGTTGGTGAATAATGGGTTTTTTTTGTTTGTTTCTTTGCTAACAGTGCTACTGTGAGTATTTTTGTTCACAGGTTGTTTACCTGAGGAATGCAATTGCTTAGCTTTACAAGAAAATGCTAAATTAAGTTGCACAGTCACTAGTAGTGCAGTGAGATTCCATATCCTCACCATACTTTCATTACTAAGCTTTTTCATCTCAGCTAATCTAGTATGTATAAAATGTTACTTTATGATTTTAATTGGTATATTTATTTTTACCTTTTTTCATATTTTTTGGTGACAGTGTTTCTGTGAAATGCCTGGATAAATATTTTATTTATTATTACTCTTTTTTTTTGGTACCAGGGATCGAGCTCAGGTCCTTGTGCTTGCAAGGCAGGCGAAGGAACCATTGAGCTAAATCCCTGGCCCCTACACTCTTAATTGATAAAGAGTCTATATATCCCAGTGCAGATCTATTCACAGTGATATGTTGAAAATACTTTCCTCCAGCTTGTTTAACTTTTTACTCTCTTTGTGTCATCTTCTAGCATCCTTTTAACACATTACTGTATTCAGTTTGCCAATATTTTGTATATTTTTTTTCATTTATGTTCATGAATGAGATTATCCTTTCTGTTCTGTTCTTTTATAGCAGCCTTTTCGCAAGGTTACAAAAAGAAGTATATCTAAAGTAATAGATTTAGCTCAGTGGTTCTGGTGCCTGCATTACAAGGGTGAGGGCCTGAGTTCGATCCCTGGTACCAAAATAATAATAATAATAATAGTAATAGAATAGCTGTAAAAGCTAACATTCATGTAAAAATATCTTTTTTCTTTTCTTGAGAAATATAAGTAAGGATATTATCATTAATTCTTATCGGATAGCCCTGATGCTTTATTAAATCATCAGGTTTAGAAAAAACTATTAAAATACAATTGTTTCCTATAAGCAGTAGCACAGTAATTAGGAAAAAATAACAGAAGAAAGTATAGGTTCACTAACATCACGCTCTTTGGGAATAGAGAATAGGACAGAGAGGGTTTGATGAAGAGTTGAAGTTGTGAAGGTCTGGAAAGTAGGACAGCATCTGAAAACAGGTATCTCTAGATGCAATTTAGTAATAAAAGGTTTACCAGAACCAGCCAGAAATCACAAATCCTATCTCTTATTAGGAAAAACTGAAAAACACTATTACTTGTTTTCAGAATATTGATTACATTTTGCTAATTATCACTTTTTTTCATTATCTTACTATCTCAGTTCAAATCGACATCAAATAAGAATGTGTCAGTAGTAGGATGGATGGTGATGATGGCTGATGACCCAGAACACCCAGACCTCTTCCTGCTGACTGATTCTGAAAAGGGTGAGTTGTTAGGATGCTTAGGGCTTAAGGTAGAGTGTATACAGTTTCTGATGAGCCTAATCCTAGTGTAACTAAAATATTCAACAGAGGAAGTATTTATCTTATCTATTGGGAGTTATTTTTGTCATATAATGCCTTTTAATAAACCAGTATCTTTAGAACATTTTTTTCCTACATAGGCAAAAGCTTGGAAATTGAAAGGCTAACTAAATCCTAAAAGGATAAGCGGAAAGGGAGAGAATTTGAGAATTATATGACCCACAATTACTTTAAAATCTCAAAGATTTCTCTTTCGTCAGTTATGTGACTCACACCACTTTCTACATTAAAATACTTTACAGGCAGTATGTAGCAACATAGATGATGGCCCAGTCATCAAACTCCAAAGTTTGTAAAAATGATGAGAGAACTGCATAGTAAGCATCACATCCTGCCTGTCACTGCATGCTGCAAGGTCCATCCAGAAGAGATCCCTGTGGTTTTGACAGGCCCTGCAAAGGAGTCCAAAAAGGAAATTCTTTCATACCTACACAGAATTCTCCACTACAGCAGCTCACAACTGAAGTGCTATATTTACAACATTTTGTTGACTTCAATACTGTATTTTTACCTCTGTTTATACTATTTTGATCAACAGATATTCTATTTTTCATGTATTACAGTGTTTTAAGGGTTTTCTTTGTTTTAGTTTTTGTTTTTTTGTACTGGGGATTGAACTCTGGTCTTTGCGCTTGCAAGGCAGGCCACCAAACCACTGAGCTAAATCCCCGGCCCAAGGGTTGTTTTTTAATGTAGACTAGATGTAGAAAAGAATAATCAATAATCA